TTTTTGATTTATTGTAGAGATAAGGTCTCACCTGCCCAGGCGGGTCTCGAACCCGCGGACTCAGGCAATCCACTCACCTCAGCCTCCCAAAGGCACGGGATTACAGGCTGAGCCACCGAGCCCGGCTTAGAGGTAGGTTTTTAATCCAGATATAAAACCAGATGTTTGGAATCTGGGACACCAGACTACAGAATTCCAGGTGTACTCGTTACCTATCGCTGCATAGCAAATTACCCAACATGTAGAGGCCTTAAACAACAATAAGCACCTGCTATCTTACACAGGTTTTATGGGCCAGGTTTCAGGAGTGGCTCAGAGGGGTGGTTCTAGCTCAGAGTCTCTCGTGAGACCACAGTCAAGGTGCTGATTGGACTGTAGTTGTCTGAGGACTGCTTCCAAGATGGGACCACAAGGCTGGGAGGCTGGACCTTCCTCATGCAGGGTTTCCATTGGGCTGCTCCTCTGTCCTCAGGATATGGTGGCTCTCTTACTCCAGAATGAGTGATCACGTAACCCATTCATTCTCTTAAAGATCACGCCTCTCAGTACTACCACATCGGGGAGTAAGTGTCAACATGAGTTTTGGAGGGGACATTCAAGCTGTAGTACCCCTCTCCCCACCTTGCTCTCCCTAAACTCACAAAACATTTCTAGTCATTGTGGGGAAAGTGATTGGGGAATGGGACACAAGTTGCCTGGTTACTGGAGTCCAGAGTTGAAGAGCTAACATCCCCCAAGTGCTGTCTGAGTGCAAGACATGTGCTGGGTATGACTGTCAACAGTCCTGGGTGCTGGGGCTGACTTGTCCATCTGCTATTGAAAAAACTCAGACTGAAGGAGCTAGTCGAATGGCAGAGCCTGGACTGAAATCAAATCTTCCCACTCTGCCTTGCATTCAGTTCACTGAGTTTTGAAATAAGGTGACTGATGGCCACGGTCGAGGAAGGTGGGGCAGAGGCTACAATGTCCTTAAATGCCATACCTTGGAAGCCACAGGGCATTCTTTCTGTCAAATGTCATCATTTCTGCATTACCTGTTGGTTACATGGGTCAGTTCTGTTCTGTGTGGGATGGGACCACACCAAGGTGTGAATGCTGGGGCGAGGCTGGCTGGAGCCACCTGGAGCCACAGCGAGATTAAATGAGACTCTGGAGAGGAGAGGAAACAAGGCTTATGCAATAACCTAATTAGTAGTTTCCAAGCGTTTTCTTTTCCTTTTTAAGCAGAATCCTTTCATCAAAAATCCTATTAACAGAATTATAGTTTATAAATATAAATATAAATGTATATATTTATATATAAAATAGAACCATTCGGGTTCAAGTCATGATGGACTGCAGGTCCGCCTCCCCACACCCTGCCTTCCCTAACCCTCAAACAAGTGGTCCTTGAAACCTATCCACAGGACAAAGACTTAACCTCACAGGGTAGGAGAAAATGGGCCCTGCTGGGGTAGTGCCCACTAGGAACAATTTTTGGAAAACCATTTGACAGTCTCCATCAACACTTAAAATACACATGTCCTTTGGCTTGTCCATTTTACTTCCAGGAATCCACCCAATGCATGTACTTACACAAGGGCACAGAGATGTGAGCACAAGCATATTTCGTCCACTGTCCAGTTTCTGGACAGTGTTAACCTAGTTAGCCTATAGAAAGTAGGAATGAGGAAGGCATAGGTCAGTGATGGGATCAAGAGGTTTTAATTTTTAAATTCACACAAGCCAATATTTTTTAAGTGCTTTCAATCATTTTATGATGAATTGCTGTTTTAATTTAGATACAATTCACAAACTATAAAATTCACCATTTTTTAAGTTTACAATTCAGCAGCCTTTAGTATAATCACCACATTGTATAACCAGTGCTACCATCTAATTCCAAAATATGATGGATTACTTTTATAGTAACTACTTTAATTTTAATCTAATTTAATTTTATTGTTTTGAGTCAGGGTCTGACTCTGTCACCCAGGCTAGGGTGCAGTGGCATGATCACAGTTCACTACAGCCTTGACTTCCTGGATTCAGGTGATCTTTTCACTTCAGCATCCCGAGTAGCTGGGACCACCATGCCTGGTTAATTTTTTTTTAAGATTTGAATCTATGTATATATAGTTTACATTTTCAACATTTATTTTGTATTTTATTACATCAACATAACCATTTAGAATTAATTACTCCAAAAATTTCAGTCATACACAATGTTCTTGAATCTAAACAGTGATCTAGCGTGGTTGCATTTTCAAGTACAATCCTAGAAAATGTCAAGTTGAACTATAAGATACTGAAGCACATTGGTCACTGTGTATCCTGGACTCTTTGGTATGGTCAGATGAAGTATTTACTAGATTTCATTTTGATTCTTCGGCTACTCTTTATTTTTGCTTTGGGCAACATCTCTGTCTGGGGACATTCATTACCACTGACCAGTAAAACAACATAAAAACAAATCATCCTTCACTGATATATTTAAAATATTTAAAATGAGACCAAACCCTCATGGAGACATTGGATAGAGTCATTCTATTGCATTAAAATGGTTTGATGGCATTTTCTTTCTTTCTTTCTTTCTTTTTTCTTTGAGTTGGAGTCTCACTCTGTCGCCCAGGCTGGAGTGCAGTGGCACGCTCATGGCCACCGCAGCCTCCACCTGCTGGCCTTAGGCATAATGGTATTTTCATAGGTCCTCTCTCTTTTTTATAATCATTTGTCTAAGCAGAGTTGCTGTCAGGCCTAATGACGTCAATAGGCTCCTCTGGCCTTCAGAACTTCACAATTTGACCTTCAGGGTTGACCAGATACTTCCAAAAATTGCACCTTGGTTCTTTCTTAGAAGAATCAACAAAAAAATCTAAATGCAGGTCCTTTTTCAGATCCTAGAATCTTAATCTTGTGGAAGCTGGGGGAATGCCACTCTGTAATATTTTCTTGCAAAAGATTCTACTTCTTTGCTTGGGTGGCGCTCTGATTCTCCAAACTGGTTACATGGAAAAGCCAACACACTGAAGTGAGATGGTCCAAACTCTCTGTGCAATTCCTTCAGTGCTAAGTAATCTTTGTCTGTGAGTTGGCAGTCTTTAACCACATTTATCACTAGTGAAACTTTGCCTTTAAAATTTTCCAGAGAAACGGTTCTTCCTTTTACATCCTTCACTTCAAAGGCATAAAAGCTGTTGATTTTAGGTTTTAGGAATTTTTGTTGTAGAGAAAATATCATTACTGTGCATAGAACCACAGACAGCAGAAATGCAAATACCTTTGCTTTGGGTCCCAAGCATTTTAATGAGTAAACTGCGAGTGGCTCCATTTTGGATGATTCTGGAGGGAAGTTCTAATTTTTTTATTTATTGTAGAGACCAAGACTCTCTGTGTTGCCCAGGCTGGTCTCGAACTCCTGGGCTCAAGCAATCTTCCCACCTCAGTCTCCCAAAGTGCTGTAATTACAGGCATGAGCCACCACACCCGGCCAGTATTTTTAAAAAGAGAATGGGAAGCACCATAGATTAATATCTACTGGCATCCAGACCTTGCTCTGACGGAACAAGACCCTTGGAGGTCATCAACAGATTCTGCTCCTTTCATGGTCCTCAAATTGGACAGGAGCTTATAGGGAAGGATACAATGACTCAGTGACTGCCCATGATATCCACTCACACTAGTAATAAACAGGGGTTATTTGATCACTGTAGTCTTTGAGAGAACAATTGAGAATGTTGGTAGAAGCTTTAAGCTGGAGGCCAGAGTCCACGGATCTAAGAGGTGAGGAAGAGTGGACATAATTCCTTTAGAGATAACGGTGGGGAATAGCGAGAGGGTATTCTTTTAAATTTGTTGGCTTGCTTATTAAGGCCTGTAAGGTAAGCTTATTTTGCAGGAAATAGAGAAGGGATTCATGGGATGAGATTAGAAATGCAATCCATAGGGAATAACCTAAGGAGAGAGGGATAACTCAAGGAGATTCAGCTAAATATCAGCGGTTTCCCTGAATGCGGCCTCAATCTGTCCCGGACTGCATCTTCAGTAGCCTGGAGGAATCTAGAACAGCTGGTGCCTTGGTTAGACTGTGGAGTCCACAAGTGAGGAATCTAGTCGTGGTGAGTATTCTTGGAGTCCTAAGTGTTGATAGAAGCACAGGAACCTTAACCAACACAACTGGGAATTCCACCCGAGGGTAAACTAGAGAAACAACCAGCAGAAACCTGTGAGGAGGAACCTGTGCCTCTCTCCCGTTGACCATTCCACCCGGGACACAACAGGCACCCATTCAATGTGCGTTGAATGGCTTGATGACCAAAGCGGGATCCTTGAGACTTGGCCATGGCCAAGGTCAGAGTGGAGGGAGGTCAAGGGGCTGTGGCTTGAAAGGGGGAAAGGAAGAACCTTGTGGAAATGGCCGCATGTGAGAATCCAGGAGGCAAACTGAGTCTGACATGGAGTTAACAGCATGGAGGAGGGAGGCTCAAGGTCTGGAGGTCATTGAATAGAAGTAAGGGGACCTGAGGGGGAGGAGCAGGGCTGGACGGAGGAGGGCTGCAGGAGCCCTCTGCAGAGGCTGTGGGAACCTGGGGCTGGAGCCCAGCGGGTATGGAGATGTTGGGGCTGGGACCTCGGTGTGCTCTTTTTAATCAAAAGCTGATACATTTTGTTTCCGTTTGAAGGTCCTGGAGTCCGGGCAAGTCCCTGGCTTGTTCAGAACAGTAACAGTCAGGGCTTTGTGCTTCTCTCTGAAATACAACTTTTATCTTAAAAAAAGAAAATGTACTCAATCCAGTCTATCATAATCATGGTATTCGGATCTTCCCCGGTTCCAGTGGGGAGGAGGAGGAAGCCATGGGTTCACGGGGCTACTGGAGAAAAATACCAGAGTTCACTCCTAATCCCCACCCCTCCCCCCTCTTCTGTTATAATGGATGGAAGATACCCAGGAAATAGGAAATGTAATCCAAAACTTGGCTTCTACTTTCCCCCCCACCTAACCCTTTAAAGGTTTGGGAAAACCTATGTAGCAGGGAGAGTAAAATTTGGATCAACTACCCAAAGGCGTGGGCACCATGACCCAGCGATAAGGAATTCCGAGGCTGCCAACAGGCGCTGGTGGCTCGGGTGTGAGGACCGTGTGGGAGGACTCCGCGTCTCAGTTATTAGAGAGAAGCCGGTTTCTGCGGTGTGAACCCCATGGCATCACAGTCTGCTTTTTGTTCCCTCTGCCTTCCAGGGCCCAGGACGGCAGCGTTGCCCAACACCCCCGGTGAGCTGAGGACATTCTGCAGATTAATTAGATTCTCTCATCTGGTTCAACGGGTCTAGTCAAGCCGTTTGAGGAGATCTGCTCTCATGCTTTCTGCCACCCTGTGGCATCGAGGCAACAGGCTGCAGATACGTGTGCGCAGGACTGTCTGGGAGGAGCACCCAGAGATTGTGGGAGGAGTCGTTCTTGCACAGCGGTTGGAAGATTTTGCCTGCACACATGGCGCTAAATAGAAAGAATGCCCCGATGTTAAAGTGACAGAAGCTCCGAGATTTTTTTTTTTTTTTTTTTTTTAATACTTTGAAGTGAGGCCTGTGCTAGGAAAAAAAAAAAAAAAAAACTACGGTGTTTCTTAAAAACAAAACCAAGCAACCTCCCGGGAGCCGGAGGGAGGGAGGGAGGGCCTCCTCCCCAGCCTCTGGCTCCAGTTTCACCCAAGTCACTTCTCAGCCGTTGGAATGAGGTCACCGATTGTGAGGCTGGGGTGGGGGGCGGGGAGGGAAAGGGAGCCGGATGAAAAGGAAGGCCTGGGTCCGGCGAGTGGAGGCCTGGGTCAGCCCGGAGCAGGAACACACGGCTTTCCAGCGGGCTGGCCGGAGGGGAAGGGCCCCAGCGCCTGCCACCCTCCGAAGCCACGCTGGCGCTGGGTGGACATCAGGCTTTGGACTCCGGGACATGTTCCTAGGAGCAGGCACAGAATGGAGACCGTCTTAGGAGAGGTGGCATCCTCACCCTCTAGAAGAGAGCAGGGGCCTGCAGATGGCCAGCCCCGTCTTTCCCAGGCTGGTGTCAGGC